TGGTGCTTGCTGTCTTCAAAGCATGTTAAAGACACCAAGATTGTTCTCTGATCTGGGGCAGGGCAGGGGTGGATACGTACAGACTGTGTAAGCCTTTTAAAATCTTTTTTTAATTTTTTTAATGTTTTATTTATTTCTGACAGAGAGAGAGACAGCGTGAGCAGGGGAGGGTCAGAGAGAGAGGGAGACACAGAATCTGAAACAGGCTCCAGGCTCTCAGCTGGCTGTCAGCACAGAGCCCGATGTGGGGCTCGAACCCACGAACCGTAAGATCATGACCTGAGCCGAAGTCGGACGCTTACCTGACTGAACCACCCAGGTACCTCAAGCCTTTTAAAATCTTTAACATGGGGGCACCTGAGTGGCTCAGTCGGTTAAGCCTCCGACTTCAGCTCAGGTCATGATCTCACAGTTGGTGGGTTCGAGCCCCATGTCAGGCTTCGTGCTCATAGCTCAGAGCCTGGAGTCTGCTCAGGATTCTGTGTCTCCCTCTCTCTCTGCCCCTCCCTGACTCAAGGTCTCTCGCGCGTGTGCTCTCTCTCTCTCTCAAAAATAAACAAACATTAAAAATTTTTTAAAAAATAAAAATAAAATCTTTAACATGAAAATATTGCAAAAGTTCTCAGAGGTTTATTTTTAATGGCATCAATGTATACCTAGGGGCACTGGCTGGCTCAGTCAGTGGAGAATGCAACTCTTGATCTCCAGGTCGTGAGTTCAAACCCTACACTGGGTGTAGAGTTTATTTAAAAATAAAATCTTTAAGGGGCACCTGGGGGGCTCAGTTGGTTGAGTGGCCAACTCTGGCTCAAGTCATGATCTCACGGTTTCTGAGTCTGAGCCTTGCACTGGGATCTCTGCTGTCAGCACAGAGCCTCAAGCCTGCCTCAGATCCTCTGTCTCCACTCCCCATCCCCGCCCATCCCCTGCTTGGTCCTTGCTCTCCTGGTCTCCAAAATAAACATTAAAAAAAAAATACAATATTTAAAATAAAATAAAGGTATTAATTTAAAGCTAGCTAAATCACTTTGCAACCCGGCTCAAAGCAACCCAAGAACGGCCTAAACCCCCACAGTGTAGTATGGCTCCAAACTCCCCTCTGCTCCTGCATAAAACTGACAGGCAGGCGCTTCAGAAAAGCCTCAGCACCCTCAGTGTCCGCCAGGAGAGGTCCAATAAGGGGCGCCTGGCGGCTCAGACAGACAAGTGTCCAACTCTTGATTTCAGCTCAGGTCATGACCCCAGGGTCCTGAGATGGAGCCCAAGGTCAAGCACCTGGTCTGGGCACGGAGCCTGCTTGGGATTCTCTCGCACTCTCCCTCTGCCCCACTCGGGCACTCTCTCAGAGAAAAACACTGCCGCCTTAAAAACGAGACTGCGTTCAGCCACTGCACCTAAACAGGAAGTGCTCCACGGGACACCAATTACTGAGGGGACAATGCAAAACACAGAAAGAGGTTTACAGTAGGAAAGCAAATGTAGGATTTTAAACATAAGGTTGTGGGTGTGCATAAGCACTTCTCATGGACAGCTGTACAACACAAGCCACAATACTTCCTGTGGGAAGGTGGGAAGAAGAGCCAACATGGATCATGCAGAAATCTTTTACTATATGCATAGCAGGCTTTTTAAAAATAAACATTAGACTCATCAAAACTTGTCTCTCCTTGTTGAGATGAGCACGGGGTGTTATACGTAGGGGAGAATCACTGGAATCTACTCCTGAAATCATTATCCACTATATGCTAACTAACTTGGATGGAAGTTTAAAAAAATACATTATTTAAAAAAAAAACTCTCCTTATTAAATTAAAAACTCTCCTTATTGGGGCTCCTGGGTGGCTCAGCTGGCTAAGCATCTGACTTCAGCTCAGGTCATGATCTCACAGTTCAGGGGTTCGAGCCCCACGTTGGGCTCTGTGCTGACAGCTCAGACCCTGGAGCCCGCTTCAGATTCTGATCTCCCTCTCTCTCTGCCCCTCCCCTTCTCACGCTGCTGCTCTCTCTCAGAAATAAATAAAAAACATTAAAAATTTAAAAAAAAACACTCCTTATTAAATGACTGCGCTGAATGACTCACTTTATACACTTTAGCTATATTCTAATGCAAAATAGCTCGTATTCATGACAACAAAGACCAGGGCCTAAAGAGCAGCTCAAAGAGTTTTTTCTACAGATAAAAACTAACAGGCTTTACTTAAATCCAAGTACTGATTTTGAAGGCCTCACATCTCAAGCCTACTAAAACTTAATATTAAGCTATTTTTTTTTCTTTTTACACAAAACGAGGATTATAGCCGCATGACCTGATTTTCCAGGAGAGGAATGTTAACACCTTCTAGAGCGAGGCCTAGCGTTGCCAGCCCAGCCGCCCTGCCGCCCAGAGCCCCGACCGCCTGCTCCTGGGACACGCCCCCCGCCCCCCCAGGTCCCTCCCGCCTGGAGGTCCATGTCTGAAGGCAGAAGTTGCACAGGACACTTGTCTTGAATTTTAGCAGCTCGTTCTAAGAAGAGCTGGCTCTGGGGTAAGTCTTCCCGCAGGAACGAACTGTGGAGCAGGCCTAACCGGCCGACGCAGTAAACATGGCTGTTTTCTAGAGCAAAGAGTTTCCATACATTAAACCACACGCACCCCTGATAACACAGCAGCCAGTGACCTCTCACCCCTAGAAGAGGACATGGGACAAAACCCAGGTGACTCTGGGTGTGGCCGTGACTTCAGAAACGCTACACAAAAGACACGATCCACGAAAAAAAAAATAACTGACAACGTACTACATTAAAACACAAAACTTCCAAACACAATGAAATAAAAGAAAAACCTCTGCTCTGTGAAAGGCACTGGCGAGAGAGGACGAGAAACCACAAACTAGGAGAACATATTTGAGAAAGGCATCTCTGATAAAGGACCATTATCCAAAATACACAAAGGACTCCTCAACACCAACAATAAGAAACAAGTAACCCAGTGAAGAAATGGGGCAGAAGAACAGGCACGTCACCAAAGAAGATGCACACGTGAGAAGACGCGCCACAGCCTGTGTCATCCGGGAAACGTACATTCAGACAAGGGGACGCCACCCACAGCTGTGAGGACAGCCCAAACCCAGAGCACGGAGCGCGCCGAGGACGCGGGGCAGGGGGAGCTGTCCCAGCGCCGCAGGGGACACAGGATGGCACGAACACTCCAGAGGACGGTTTGGGGGTTTCTTACAAAACTGAACAGCATCTTACCCTACGACACAGCAGTCCCACTCCAGTATTTAACCAAGTAAAACTTCATGTCCTCACAAGAACACGCACCAAGGTATTTACAGCAATCTTTATTCGTACCGGCCCGGAGCTGGAAGCAAGCAATGCGCCCTCCAGTAAAGAGATGAACGATACAAGCAGACAATGACCACACTTAGGGCTACAATGAAATGTGCTCGAGCCGTGAAGACACGTGGAGGGGCCTTGATCACATACTGCGAAATAAGAGAGACCAATGTGAAAAGGCTACATCCTGGATGATTCTAACTATACCACGTTCTGGAGCAGACAAAGCTATGGACACAACCGGAAAGATCAGCGGTTGTAAGGGAGGAACAAACAGGAACACGGAGGTTTACAGGGTAGTGTGCACGGTACTCTAATGGTGGACGTACTTCATGTTACATTTGCCAAAATCCTTCGGACGCACGCCCGCAAGAGTGAACTCCAACGGACAGCACGCACTCGGAGACAGAGCAGCCTGGGTGCGGGTTCAAGGTTACAACAAAAGGGGCCGGAGAGGGGGGAGGGCTGCGCCTCTGGGGAGGACTACATGCGAGCTCTGTTTTTCCCAATTTTGCCGGGTACCTAAAGAATAAAGTCTACTACAGTAGAAAAAAATGCATAACTAAGATGACAAGTCTGCAAGAAGAAAGAAAATAGGTTTCACGATTCCTTACAAGAAATGGGAGCAGAACAGAGCAAGGTCAATCAAAGGGTTTAAGTGTTCATCAAGAAAGAACGACACAGCAATCATTATTTACAGCACAAACTAACCCTGTCGCCACTTATCAACAACACAGACGTTCTCGCCGTTATATTTACCACATTTACGAGGGCTGCTGCTTAGAGCAATCATAAAATTCTGAAATGAAAAGTCAGGAGGAGGATGGATGAGCCTGACACTACCAGCGAGCAAACTCTGAGAGAGCAGCGCGGATGGGCCGCGGCCGCGTCAGTCCCCTCCGGGGGCGGGGACGGCGCCGCCGCGCGAAACCGGCGCCAGGACGAGCCCCCTTCAGTTCGGAGGCCCAGCACACACGGTCCCGAGAGCCGTTCCCAAGTCCTCGGGGGAAACATACGGAACCGTCTTGAACTTGCGTGACAGCTTTAACAGCAGCAGGCGTTTCCAAACACTTAACAACAAAAAAGGAAATTTTAGGACTACGTCACTAAAAAAACAAAAAAGCTGAATTTCTGACCTAAATTTCATAAGACGAGGAAAAGAACGCCGCGCTGGAAGGGGGGAGGGGAACACATGTGTAACGCGCACAGGCCCCACCTGGGAGCCTTTTTAATTAAAAAATTCTAAACATTCCAAGCATATCTCCTAACTTGTAAGGCCGGCCGGCGTCTTTCGATCTTCAGTATGAAGGACACCTGCCCTCCTCCTCCCGGCAGGCGAAGGTTGAAGGCAAAGAAATACTTACCCAAACGAGCACGCAGCCCACTTCGCCGCGACCGCCGGGCAGGCCCCCCCGCCCCCCCCCCGCTCGCGCGTCGACTGCAACCTCCACTCCGCAGGCAGGTCCACCGAGGCACGAAGGCCAGCGAGCCGGGACCGGGGTGCTCGGGGGTGCGCGTCCCGCGCCCTCCTGCCCGGGTGCTGCCCTTGGGGAGCCGGCGAGGACCACAGCGCCCGGGCCCCGGGAAGAGCCCCGGATCCTAACGGGCCGCGCGCCTCTCCCTCCGCCCGGCCCCGGCCTCGAGCGCGCGCCCTCCCCCGCCCCCCCCCGCTCCTCCCCTACCTGCGCCGCGGCCGCGGAGGCGGCGGCAGGCGGCGGCCCCCCTTGCAGGCCGTCCTCCTCCTCGGGGGGCTCGTCCAAGAGCACCCGGCTCCGGCTCAGCTTCCACATGCTCCGGGGCGGCTCCGCGGTCCGTGCGTCGACGCGCGCCCCTAGTCGGCCGGCCCGCAGCGCGCAGACGTTCGGCCTGCGGCTCCTGCACGACCGGGACGCGGGCGAGTGGGGCAGGGCGGGGCCGGGCGGCGGCGGTAGCGGCGACGGGGCCCGGCCCACCCCGCGGGGACCCGGCCCTCCCCGGGCCGCCCGAGCCCCCGCCGCCACCCCGGGCCAGGCCCAGGGCCACCGGGGATTCGGCTCCCCGCACCCAACCAGGCGCCCCCACCTCTGACCAGGCCCACCTCCAGACCAGGCCTCCACCCCTCCTTACAGCCCCCAACCAGAGGTCACCGCCCCCAGGTCTGGCCCGGGTCCCCCAGGATCAGGCTCCCCCTCAGCCCAACGAGGGTCCCGCCCCCGCCCCGCCCCCTCCGCGAGACCCCGCCCCCGCAGCCTACGATTCCGAATGTCTTCACCTCAGGAGCCCCCAAAACGACCATCTTCACCCCGGGCTCCCCTCCTCCTGGCTCCCACTTTTCTGGGACAGCTCCCGCTCACTTCCCCCACCCTGGGCTGACCCTCCCACTCCGGGGTGACACCCTTACTTCGGGGACCTCTCACCACCTTGTTTCATCCCGCCCCCCCACCCCTCACCGCGCCAGCCCTCACCGTCCCTTCTAAACCCGGTCCTCACTCAACCCGGGACCCCTTCACCCCGGCCCCCTCACCCCTGGCCAGACCATCGCCCACCCCAGGCTGGCCTCCTCACCCCTCACCGCACCCCTCATCTCGGCCCTCCTCACACCCGGCACGCCTAACCCCCGACCCCACCCCCCACCCCGGGCGGACTCCTCACCCTGAGCTGACTCCCTTACCCCAGGACCCCCCACTCCGGGCCGCCCCTTCACCCTGAGCCCACTCCCTCGGCCCCGGAACCCCCCCCCCCACCGGGTCAGACCCCTCACCCCGGCCGTGGGGCGCGGCCAGGTCCGCCGGGCGGCGGCGCGGGGGCGGGGCCCCGGCGTCCGGCCTGCGGTCACCAAGGCAACGGCCGCCGGACGCGGGGCGGGCGCAGTGCGCATGCCCACTGCCCTCTGCCCGCCGGGCTTCCGCCCCCAGAAGGAAAGGCGGCCGGCGCGCTGCAGTGACCCCTGCGGGAGGACTCGGCCCCGGGCGACGGCCGTCGGCGCCGAGCCCTGGGTTACAGGTGCCCCGGGGCGCGACTGCGCCCAGGATTCGGCGTGCGCGCCGGTCCACCCGGCCGCTCGGGTGACCCGCCAGCCCGCGCCCCCAGCCCACTCGGGCTCCGGCAGGTGCGCGCGGCCGGAAGGGCGGGGGTCCGGGGGCCCGCGCGGGTGGCCGCTGGGTGCCGGCGCCCGAGAGTCCGGGGAGGGGCAGCTGTGGAGGGGTGTGCTGGGCGAGGCCCGGGGGAGGGTCCTGGATGTCCACACCCAGGCCGGACAGCCCGCAGCCGCCCCGGCCCCTGGCGCTCGCGGAGGCTCACCGGTCAGTGCTGCAGTTCCGGGGCAGAGGATCGGGTCAATGACTTTCAGAGTTTCCTGGCTGTTGGCAAGAGGTGTGGATGTGCCAGACAGGGTGTAGGTTGCAGACAACCAGCTGAGGGTACTTTTACAGGTACTCTTGACAGTCTAAAAAGTAACACTTTTCTGAGCTAAGAAAGGTTGCAGTCACAGTCGCGGGGAGTGTGACAGAAGCCTCCTCCCCCCCAACCTGGAGAGTCGGAGGACCCGTCATGACGGAGGATCTCTCGCCCTCACAGAAAGTCAGAAATCGGAGAGGCACTGCACACATCTCAAAGTCCAAAGTGACCTTGATCTATTTCCTGTCTCTGGAAAGAGCCAAATAGTAAAATACACTCAACTCTACTGCAATCAGAGAAGTGCAAATTGAGATATCCACCTGTCTGTCGACCAGCTAGAAAGTATGATGCTAAGTGAAACAAGTCATCAGAGAAAGACACTTACCTAATGATCTCACTCACACGTGGAATTTAAGAAACAAAACAAAGGAAAGAAAAGAGACAAACCAAGAAACAGACTCCTAACTCCAGAGAATACACTGGTGGTCGCCAGAGGGGGGGGATGGGGACACAGGCGATGAGTATGAAGGACGCACCTGTCCTGATGAGCACTGGTAGCAAACCCACAAATCCTCATATTCTCCTTAAGTCTCAAGGATCATGAGATAAACAGTCACACACACTCCTACCTCCACCTAATCCCAAAGATCTCTGGACCCACCAAGCACAAATATTACAATCACGTAAAACCACAGAACACTACAGAATAACCAGTAGGAATTAAATTGAAGAACTCCTTCTTCCCAGGACTATATAAGAATGTTAAAATTTGTATGTATATGTATACACACTTTTTCAAACCAGGTCAAACCAGCTTGGCCTTTGGGCTGGAAAGGCTGAAGAATGCAATATGCAAAGACAATGTGGCAATGGTTATGGCCCGAACTGCGAACACACTGTGAGCCTATACCCTGGGTCCCATGGGGTCCTGTCAAAATAAACACACTTCAAGCACAAACACCGATAAAAGTCCCACACCACAAAGCAGAGGTTACAAAACAAAGCCAGGATCCAAGCTCAGCCCTTTCAAGGACACTACAAACAAAACGTGGAAAACCAAGTCAGAAAACTTCAACAAATAACAGATCCTTTTATTCATGCAAGAGGGGCCTCTGCTCAGACCACAGGCTTCCTTTCGGCATTATAGCCACGTTTTTGTGCTTTTAAAATCTTCTTTGTAAGTGAAACTGTAACCCCCTGCAAATCCAGGACAGTCTGGAAAAGAAGGCCAGACTTAATAAATCAAAAATGCTAAATTCCAGAATAATTTAAACAGCATTCATGTCATTTCTAGGAGAGCACAGCAGGGAAGGGTGTCTAGGATTGGAGGGGGTAGAAGGCAGCAGACCAGAGCAGGCGCCTGATGCAGGCGGGAACAGACAGAAACAGGTGAAAATCTTCTGTGTGGAGCTTCAGGCTTCTGGAAGTCTTTTTTTTTTTTTTTTAGTTTTATTTATCTATTTTTGAGAGAGATAGTGACAGTGTAAGCAAGGGAGGACTAGAGAGAGGGAGAGAGAGAAAGAATCCCAAGCAGGCTCACACTGTCAGCACAGAGCCCAACATGGGGCTTTAACCCATAAAACCACGAGATTATGACCTGAGCCAAAACCGAGAGTCTGACATTTAACCAACTGAGCCCCCCAGGCACCCCTGGGCTTCTGGAATTCTGAGAGGCACTTCCCACATGCTCTAGGCCTCTGGTCCACCATCACTTATTCACTCTTTTATGATTTTTATACAATTAACTCATGCTATTAACCTTCATAAGTGGTGCACTCCACAAAATTTGGTGTCACAAAGAGACAACCTTACACATAAGAATTCGTTTCTGTGTCCAGAAAGACATGGTTAAAAAACCTACCATGTTCTGAGCCTCACCCCCCTTTGGAGGAAGCCACTTTAGCCTCAATTGGGTAATAGAGCCCCTGAAAATTCACTAGTGGAGAAATGCTTTTTACTTATTAAAGGTCGAGTCTGCGATCCCTGCCTGAAGGCTCAACTTAGTGAGGTTTTACTCTGGCAAAATTGACTTTAAATGGAAGTAGGGTCTAGGGTACACATAGAACTTTCTAGTAAAATTACTTGAAAACTAAAACAACAGCCTCAGGAGAGCATGCGTTCCTCGCTGGGCCTCCAGACTTGGAAACCACAGTTCCGGGTGAGGTGGGCTGCTCTTCCTGTCTGGGACTCGCTCCTCATAGGCCCAGGAGCCACAGAGGCAGGCCGGCATGGCCTACGGCCTGAGCACCAGACCCTTCACTGTGGGGACAGAGCCACACAACATTCTACACCTATCACAGCTTCTCTGGAGCTTCTCACAGTTCATGAGTTCGAGCCCTGCGTCAGGCTCTGTGCTGACAGCTCAGAGCCTGGAGCCTGCTTCGGATTCTGTGTCTGGCCCCTCTCTGCCCCTCCCCTGCACGTGCTCTGTCTGTCTCTCTCTCAAATATAAACATTAAAAATTTTTAAAAAGAAATAAAGCAATCTACTTTGTGAAATATAAAGTTTGCACATTGCAACAGATAGGGAATTGACAACAAACTCAAATGATTGATTTGTTCTAATTTATTTCCTATTTTTCATGTAAGAAACCCTACAATAACCTCAGTGACGGCATCCAAACACATACATAATGATATATAAAGACTCACATTCCTGCAATTAAACATAATGTACACCATATATATTACAAATAGTCACACACGTATTCACGTGAACTTGGTTTTCTGTTCTGGTACTGCTCTGGTTTTCAGATTAAAAATCCCTTGGCAACTGTGAATGATTTTGCCGTTTTACCATTTGCACTCTGACTTCTGGGGGGTAGGGATGAGGGCGCCTCACAGGTCACAAACTGAAGAGGGAAAAGGAGCCTGGAAGGCTTGCTGCCCCATAGAGACACGACGTGCATTTGCTGTGAGGCTTTGGGAGAGTTACTGACCCTCTCTGAGCCTTGGATTTCTATCTGTAACCTGAGTGTGACTCCTCTCCCTCCGCTTGCTTGTAAAGCTCCCAGGAGCACAGCTTCTGGGGCTCGGTTGCAGGTTCTGGGTCAACACAAACTGCAAAGCACCTGCTTTTCATGACCTGAGTCGGAACTTGCTGGCCATTTAACAAGCCCTGTGTGAGGCGACAGAAATTCTATCCCGGATCAAACTCCAGTGAGGCTCCTCCAGGGCCTTGGCCTTCACTGTGTGACCTTTAGTGATGGTCCTGTGGGGCCTGTGTCGCCCAGTCTCAGGGAGCCCCCAGCCCCGTGTCTGACCCGGCTCCTCACCGCCCCCCAGGAGAGCCGACCGCCCAGCCTGCCTTCAGCACAAAACCCGTGAGGTGGGTCTGGCAGAACCCCCGGCCCCTGATGCTTCCTCTTAGCGGTGTCCCTCCACGCCCCCAGCTGCCCCAGGGTGCACCCCCACTGCCCACCCACTGGCCGCCAGGCAGAGCCCCTTTCCACCATTAGCCGGCGTGTCAGAATAACCTTTCTTAAACGGGTGCTGAGCATGGGAACACGGCCTTTGTTAGAGCGGCATTCACCCCTCACATCCCAAAACTAAGTGTGAAGGCACAGAAACTGTGAATCCCCACCTGCCTCCGAGCCCTTCTGCTGTCACCAGACCCAAAGCCAGCACCTGTGAGTCCCCACTCCTCCCAAGGGCGTGGTGAGAGTGCAGTAATCCAAGACGGTGGCCAGAAGGCCAGGAAACGCCCTTGACCTCCACCCATGCTTCACTTTCAAAGCAGTTTGTATCTGATGTCTCTCGTCTGCATCATTTCTCATCTCTTAGTTAAGAAGGGCAATGTTTATTCCTTTTAAATTACAGTCATTTTAAACGGTTATTCTGTATTTAAATAGTTATATCTATACGTTTTTAAAATATGGAAACTGAAACTCATAAACACGCATTTTTTTTTAATGTTTATTTATTTTGAGGAGGGGTATGGAGAAAGGAGAGAGAGAGAAACCCAAGCAGGCTCTGAGCTGTCAGCACAGAGCCTGACGCAGGGCTCGACTCATGAACTGTGAGATCATGACCTGAGCTGAAACCAAGAGTCAGACGCTTAACTGAAGGAGCCACCCAGCCGCCCCCTAAACGTGCATTTTCAAAGAAGCTGTTATCAGGGACAGGATAGCAGAGGCTTCACAAGACAGGGGCGGCTTCGCCAGCTGCTCCCTCTGGGACTGCGGAGAGTCACGTCACCTCGCCATGCCTCGCACGGCCCCGCAGGTAAGGCCGGCATGGTGACAGGTATTAGGTCATGCGGTAGCTGGGGGGACCTTCGAGTCGTGCCTGGGGCACAGTTAGTGCCGAGAACCTGCCGAGAGCCTCCCTGGAGGCCCGCAGCCAAGCCCAGAGGCGAACGCCGGGGACGAAGCTGGGGCTGCCCTGGCCGTGCGCCCGGCCCGCAGACCCCGCCGTCCGGCCGCTGCAGCCCCCGAGGCTGCTTCCGCATCAGGG